CAAAAGAGTTTTATCGAGGTGTTAATGTCAGAGAAGGGGGAGCTGGCTCGAGATAAAGACAAGTTGAGGGCCGAAGTGAACGGTCTCAAGGTCGGTCAGGAGGCCTTAGGGCTTGAGGTGAGCAGCCTCAAAGCCGAGCGGGATGCTCTGAGGCTCGAGGTACAAGACCTCAAGGAGGCGAAGGGGAAACTGAAGCATGAAGTGGGGTACCTCCAGGAGGACATAAAGGAGAAGATTGCAATCTTCGAGGGTGCTCTCGAGGAGGCCAAGACCCAGGCCGTCATTGACTACGTCAACTCTTCGAAATTCGACGATGTGATGATGGAGGCCTACCGTAAGGGCTTCAAGCTCAGTCGGTGGCTGATCAGGCACCTCTACCCCGAGCTGGACACAAGCGCCATTACTACTTCGCGGATTACTGACGACATCGTGCGTCGTCAAAAGATGACCCCGATTCCGAGGATGAAGGTCCCGAAGATGGAGCAGAGGGTGCCGGTCCAGACACTGTCCCCGAGGGGGTCCCTAATAGAGGCGGCGAGCCCCCGAAGTAGTTTGCTCTTGTAACTTAGTCTTTTTCCTTTCTGAACTGTGAATGTACTTATCCTGAGCCTTTGAGCTCGGGTAAAAATTCTTGTACCTGAACTCTCCTTTTAATGAAACATAGTTTCTTTCGAGTATCTCTTAGTGCAAAAACACTTCTAAGTGTGAGTGGACACTGAGCTGGTCAATTTAATGTATAGGTTACCCGAGCTGTGTTAGAGCAGCAGGGGTGTAGACGCCGTAGGGTTCATACCCGAGCTGTCTTTCCCTTAAGGGTTAGAGATAACCAGGTTTTGTCAGTTTGGCGTTTTGTGGCCGTTAGGCTTTGGGAGGGATTCGTAGTCCGTTCCTGAATTTCCCCATGCTGGAGTGGCACTTGGCCTTTTCTTACGCACTCTTTATTTTTGCTAAGGCGATCTTAACACCCGAGCTATTAGAGTTGTGTACCCGAAGTGAGTGACAAAGTAGGGTACATGCCGACCTGTTTGTACTTGAGCTAAGTTGACATCGGCTGTCCTTAACGGGTTCGACTCGTTGCATGCCAGTGCGGGCTATTCGTTACAAGGTTCGTGCCCAAACCGCTTGCACCTTGGGCGTTGTAAGTACTTAGTTCATGCTGATGAGGTCTTTTCATTAGCTCGGCGTTTTAGCCCTTAGGCTGGAGGAGTTGGCTCATGGCCCACTCTCGGGGTCTGCTCATGCCATAGAGGTGGCTGGGTCCTGTTGTGCCGAGGTCATGTTAGCTCGGTATTCTGGCCCTTAAGCTTAGGGAGTGGCTCGTGGCCTACTCGATTCTTACAGATAATATTGCCTTAGGTTGACAATATTCAATGCTCGAGGTACTTGTTTCCCTTCGAGGGTCTCGAGCTCGTATGTTCCTTCCCCGAGCACTCGTTTCACTCGGTAAGGACCTTCCCAGTTGGACCCGAGCTTGCCAGTGCCGGGCTCAGGTACCATAACTTTACGAAGGATCAGGTCACCAACGCGGAGGTTCCGCTTCTTGACCCTGGCGTTATAGTACCGAGCTACTCTCTGCTGGTAGGCTGCGGTCCTAATGTACGCGAGGTCCCTTACTTCGTCGAGTAGATCGAGGTTGGTACGTAGCTCATCTTCGTTTGTCTGATCATTGTATGCTTCTAGCCGCAACGTAGGTACTTCAATCTCTGCGAGGATCACTACTTCGGTGCCATAGGTGAGATTGAAGAGTGTTTCTCCCGTGGCGGTCTTCTCCATGGTCCGGTAGGCCCATAGGACAGCCGTGCCTTTAGTCCGCGGATGATGGCTCTGTTCGTGACTTCTGCCTGACTATTTGCTTAAGGGTGCGTGGCTGAAGTAAAATTCTGTTGGATCCCCATGTCCCGGCACCAGTCTTGAAACTTGATGTCCTCGAACTGCTTGTCGTTGTCGGAGATCAATACCCGAGGTAATCCGAAGCGGCACACGATGTTCTTCCAAAAGAAGTTTTGGACATTTCGGGCTGTGATCGTCACGAGGGGTTCGGCTTCTACCCACTTGGTAAAATAGTCCACTGCCACTACTAAGAACTTCCTTCCACCCGTTGCTAGCGGGAATGGCCCGAGTAGATCGATGCCCCACTGCGCAAAGGGCCACGGGCTGGTGAGATACTTGAAGTCGGCAACGGGTTGGTGGTGAATATTGGCATGTCTCTGGCATTTGTCACATTTTCTGACGAGCTCAATAGCGTCTGCCTTCATTGTTGGCCAATAATACCCTTGTCGGAGTGCCTTTTGGGCGAGGGCCCTGCCCCCCAAGTGCCCACCCCACAGACCCTCATGGGTGTCGCGGAGTACGAGCTTGGCGTCGGTAGGTCGCAAGCAACGCAAGTAGGGGAGCGTGTAAGATCTCCGGTATAGTTGTTCGTCTATCATGACATATTTGGTTGCCTGGTGTTGTACCCTTCTAGCTGCATTGCGGTCTGCAGGGAGGGTCCCATGTAACAAGAAGCTCGCGAGCGGATCAATCCAGCTCGGCTCTGCTTGAACGACGGGAGCGACCTCATCTGCCCCCCTGAGCACAATCCGGTCACTCCTACCTGGCGCTCGCGTGGCTCCTGAGAGGTACCTGAAACTAGAGGAAAGAGGAAGAACTCCCGGGGGGTTTCCCGGCGAGAACGCTTCGATGCTTAAGTTAGTATTGTGTGCAAGAAGCTGAAGGAAAACGAAAGCTAAGAATGTAGGTTGCACTAGTGATTCAAGATACCTTGTTCCTTGAGAATAAGCCCCTTATAACTGAATTCCGTTGCTTCAGGCCCTCTGACCTCTGACAGGGCAGGTATAACCGCCACTGTCAGTCTGCCACAGCCGTTACAGGCATGGCTGAGGTGGCACGCGCGGGGCCGTCGTGCAGGGTACGTGTCTGTTAGGTGTGGGACGCCTTTCTAAGGGTGGCAGGCGCGGCGAGGGGGACATGCCTGCTGTCCATAGGTTTGTCGGGTACGGCAGTCGGGCAGGAAGCCCTCCTATGGTATACCGAACTGTTCTCCTACGAATTACCCTGAGCTGGGTTGTCCTTTGGGTGACGGGCTGCTTGTAGTCGGTTATGCCGAGCTAGCCGACCCGAGGTCTTTGTGCCTCGCGGCGTCCGGAGAAGAATCGGTGCGTTCTTGCTTAGGAGTGGCCCGAGGTCCATTGGGAGGAGCTCAGGTGTCAAAAGGGGTCAGGGAGCCCCGAACTTGGGACCCCCCGAAGTGCCTTAACCCCGGGGAGAAGATGCGGGCAAGGTGGCTTTCGGCGAGTAGTTTACCCGCCGAGTTGCCGTGCTGAACTCGACGGGACTTTCCCTCTGAGTTGTGCTCACGTCCGTTGGCGCTGTCATGCTGAGTCAATGTTTGAGCAAGGTCACACCCACGTGTACCTGAGCTACAAGGTTGGGCTAAATCACCCTCCATCAACACTAGTGTTTGGAAATTTATTCCTTAGGATAAAGTTTCTATTCTAAAGAAACAGCGTTTGGATATGTTGCTAATCTTAAGATTAGTTCATTTGAATGGCTAAGACCAGTGGTTCGATCCGATAAAACAACTTGAATAAGCCAGATCAATTCAATGGCATAAATCAATACATTTTTTCGTTAATATGGAGAGGAAGTTCAAAAATCAAACCTAATACATTTTTACGATAAGCAAGCAAGTTGCATGTCGAACAGAGATAATGAAAATAAAAAATAAACAAGGGTAAAAAGCACTGAGAAACGAACTAAGCAAGGAGTGAAGGCTCTGACCTGTGTGGCGGAAAGAAGATTAAGATTGGTTGCAAGAAAACCAGCTGAGAAACGCGACCAATCGAATGATTGCAGCCTGGTGGAAGCTCTGCAAAGGCTTGAGAGGAGAGGGCGTCGGCGGTAGGAAGAAGAAGAAGAACCCCACTTAAGCTAAAAAGTTGCGAAATTACCATTGTAACTCCACTCAACACGTGGGAAACTTATACATGTGTTCGTTACTTAATAATGAGGATTCAGTCAGTGCAATGCTCGTTCGAACAACCATCGTAGTTTTGCATTGGGAATATGTTTCTTCCGATGCAAGGCTAAGGCTATAAAGGTGTTGGAAGTTCGAACGGGAATGTCGGGAACGCGAGGAACACTCCCGCGGAACGATGAACGATGCCGAACCGAACCGAACAGGTTTACATGCCTCAATTGCTTGCATTTGCTTTTCCCTGAGAAAAGAATAGTACGCTTTTTGCTTTATAGCCAAGCATGAAAGAGCTGGTTGAATATGGTTACGGTTTGTATATGTCTTGGCATGGGTGGATGGATACACTAACAAGTCTCTCCATCTCATTGATGCAGTCATTGGATGCACATGAACAATCCATCTTAGATGACTTTCTCTCATCCTCATCTTGTTACCTATTTAAGGCTACTCCTAAGTCCTAGATAGGCTTGTCTCTAATTCTGTCCTTCCTATTCATACCACAAATCCATCCATCTTAACATCCTCCCTTAGGCTACCCTTACTTGTTATTGCTCAAAACTCAATTCCATGTAGCAGTAGCATTAATACTGGTCTTATAGACATCCTATACATATACAGCTTTAAGATTAATTTCCTCAAAGTTCAAACACCTACAAGTTATAATTTTTTTCACTTCAACTCAGTATGGTGGAAATTAATGAAAGATGATACCCAGGGGTTTCAATTAGTTTTTTTGCCACAAGTAGGTAAAACATTAAAGATTACACAATATGGCACTGAAATGGTATTGTCATTCACCGTTTGATCAATGAATGGTAGAAAGAAAATTCCAAACATTATTAGAAGAGGGAACAGCCATCACATTTGTCAATACATTTCCAGAGAGGCTGCACGTGCACCATATCCTCCAAGAAACACCTCTATTGCTTCCACAATATCCTTTTTGAAGCATACAACAGTTTCCAAAATATGTTTAATTGAAACCAAGGGGAGTGGGGGATCTACTTTATTCCCCATACATATTTAAGCACTATCAACATCCCCAACCTGTCTGCCGCATACATCTCAAACCCCAACTAAATGTCAAAACACCTTTCCAAGTTTTTCATCCATGCTTCTTCATTGTAAGGTCCACCTTGCAAAGCTACAAGAAGCTGCTGATGAGAAAGCCATCCAAACAGCTGCCAGGTGATCGATCTTCATTTTGGGAAAGATATAGAATGGTTGATTGTCTTCATGGAATAGCATCCACTCCATAAATGAAATTACTAATTGATAGCCATCATCTCTATTCTCTAAACACATAAAAGCAAAGCGGACTCGATAAATTAAAAGCATGTAGTAATGGAAAAAAATAACGACTCACCGAAGGAGTGGAAGAGTGCAGAATAATGTTTTCATCCAAATTCCATGCAATTTTTCTATTTTAAGCAAAATGTTCGTTTAATAAAACAGGGGAGGGATGTTTCAACTTTCAATGAAAATTTTAAGCAAAAGAAAACAGAGTCGTTACCCAAAAAAGAAAGAAATTATGTACCAAGGCTGAGCTCCTTCACCTCACTCCTCATCTCTTTTTTGTTAAATTTTGCGGTTTTTATTGTTCAGTCCATCCCAATAAATCTTAGTCCTAGCGTATAGGTGGATGAATCTGATCATGGATTGACTCCAAATTTACTGTCAGAATGCGATTTATAGGGGGGCTACTAGTAGGGGTGGCCACGAGCCGAGTTCGAGCCCAATTTATAAGCTTGTTTAATAATCGAGTCAAGTTCAAGCCTAATATAGCTCAGCTCGCGAGCTAAGCTCAAATAGTTACATATACATACATATAATAATAATATAAAATTATAGAAAATAATATATATATATAAGAAAAATATTATATATATATATATAATTTTTATTTTTATATATAACAATAGCTAATTATTATAATTCTTAATTTTTTAAATATCAAATAAGAAATATTTTTATATATAATTTTTTTATTTTTATAAAACATTTTTTCTCAAATCGAGCTCAAGTTTACGAGTTTTTGGCTCGAGCTTAAGGTTCTAGCTCAAACCGAGCTCGAGCTCGAATCTTGTACTATTCAACTCGGCTCAGCTCGAATTCACCCCTAGCTATTAATAGACTAAGAGGAGGCTATAAATTCATATTTCTGAGGTACAGTGCAATCTATTTATCCCAATTTTTTAAACATTTAAAATGTGTCAACCCTCTTCCCAAACCCCTGATCATTATAAAATAAAAAAAAATGAATATTAGCCATATCAATATCTCTAAAAAAACAATATCAATACCTAAATATGAGAGTTACTCCCACTGAGAACTTGTCTTTGGAAACGCGAGTTTATGTTTATCATTCCCACATTTATGTATTTATTTATATTTATGAATTTTATTTTATGGAAGATAGACGTAGACCTGGACAACCAAAAAAATCATTGTGATGCCGTTCCGTTTTGGATAATTAGCTAACGTTCATTCTGTGATACCCAATCAATTAGAGAAACGAATACCCAATTCTGGTGGATTTAGCATTTACCTAGCCTTACATATAGTTGGTGTTATTGATGGCCATGCCAAGCTTGGCAGCCGTCCATGTGGCTGTAGTAGTAGGAGAAACATTCTATGGTTAGCAAATAGCAACCCAAATAGAAGGTTGAGTCCATTGTTACAACTTACAAATAGGCCCAATTAGGCCTTGTTAGGATAAATTCCATTTGCACTCAAAGAACTAAATAGCCCAACCCAACCTGGTCGGGCCCATCAAGAGGTTAAAAATTTAAGTTTTTAACATCAAGTTTGGCCTAATAACACAGTCGCAAATAATGCTCTAATCTTTTTTTTTTTTTTATTAAAAGCAAAAGACTAAAAAAGATATAGGGGAGGGCATAGCCCATCTTGCCCCAAGCCCAAAGATTTACCTTGTGTGGATATTTGATTGATAAAGTAAAAATAGGTGTTTGAGGCACTATCTATTCCAAAATTTGTAAGATAATCTGCCACACGATTAACCGTTTTGTCTATATGATTAAAAGAAATCTTAAGCTGGGCTGCCAATCGGAAAATTTTTTGAACTTGGTAATACACATGCCAAGGAGCCATTAAACCTAAATTTAGGAGGCTCACTAAGACCATATTATCACTCTCAACCAAAACATTATTCAAATTGAGATTTGAGCATAACTGAAGACCATCTAGAAGAGCTTTAACTTCCTCTTTCAAGGAGGTACAATGCAATGAAATTTCCTTCGCAATCTCTAATGACCCCACCACCCCCACCCAAACCTGGGTTGCCTCTACAAGCTCCACCAGTATTAATTTTAATATAGTTTTTTTGTGGAAGTTTCCAAATCATCCATTTAACACTTTTCAAAGGGACATTTTCAACAAGAATTAGAAAGCAAGTGGCCCAAGAGGTGTTATGATCAACAATACTAGGCAACAGTGCCACATTATTTAGTTGACTAAGCCAACATTTTGTTTGAATGGTAACTTGGTTCACACAGATAGCCTTTTCTTCATGAACTCTTCAATGCCTCTCAACCCATATTTCCCACAGAATAATAGAACGAACCGGACTTAAAATCTGATTTCATTGACTATTTCTTTTACATCAACTCCACCAATTTTTAATCCAGTCCTGAATATGCTGTGATTTGTAAATATGTATGTTAAACATATTAGCAAAGTAACTCCAACAATTTGAAGCTAGAATAGAGAAGTGACCAAAAGTTACTTGATTAAAGGATTTGCAACATCAACATTTTGACACCATAGATACCCCTTTTCTTTTAACAACATCATCCACAAGAAGGATGTCTAACATAAATTTCCACATAAAAACTGCTATTTTTGTAGGGAGACGTACCTTCCAAATATGCTTGTTCTAGTTGGCATTAGTGACTAAAGTCCTTGTGAGCTCCCACGGCGAAGAGACATTAAATTCACCATTTGAATTATTCATCCACACCAGAAGAAAATCCCTATCATTAGGGAGCCTTAAGCAAGAATTTATAGCAATGTCTTGGATCTCTGCTTCCACATTAAAATTATTTGGAAAAGACCATGATCCACTAGTACCCAAAACTTTATTAATTTTGAAATCAATTAGATTAATTCTCATTAGTAAAATTACACAAAGGGCCCATACATGATGCCAAATGGATATGTTGCCATTCCCAACTATCCATTTTGCATTGGATAAAGCAATCTCTTCCACATCAAAAATTTCCTCCCAATATCGAATCGAGTTTGCTTTTAAATTTTCCATTGCCAAGTGATTATCACCAAGGTATCTAGTTGTAAAAAATTTGGCCCACAAGCTCTTGTTTTCAATCAATTTGAAACAAATCTTTACCCTATATGGTTCCTTTGGTTGCCGAGAAAGAATGAGATGAGAAATTATGAGATGGGAAAGGATGGGATGAAAAGAAAAAATTTATTTTTTCATTTTGACATTCTAGTGTTTGATTGTGTTAAGAAAATTTTTTGTTTTTTTTTTATATTTTGATAAAAATACCCTTTAAAGATATCTAAAATTATAAAAATATCCTTATTCCCTATGGCTCAGTTTGGAAGGAGTACAAATACAAATATATACGGTACAAATAGATATAAAATAATACAAAATACAAGTTTTGCACTCTATATATTTGTATTTGTACTCCTTCTAAATGGAGCCTATAAAACTAAGTTTTTCATTCAATTTATTAGATTGTTCATCATCTTCCTCCCTTCAAACTTAAACCGGTGGCATAGAGGAGGTGAGTTCCAATCTCCCTGATCTCTCTCTCTCTCTCCCTCTTCTTCATCAACACTGTTACTACATCTCTGACATCATTACTCCGCCGGACCTCTCTCCTTCTCCGCCGCTGCACTGTTCATATCCCTCCCTCCGTTCACATCTCCAACATTGCTACTCCATCTCTGACGATGTTACTCCACTAGACCCTCTCCTTCTCCAACGCCAATGCATTGCTCATATCCCTCCCTCCATTCACATCTTCACCGGACCTCTCTCTATTCATGGTATTTTTTGCGAGTAATTTCTGTGTGACCCCGCATTTCAAGTTTTGAAAAACCGCGTCTCGCTATTTCTTGGTCCATCTCATGAAACAAACGAATGAAAATAAAAATCTAAGAAGAAAATTCCCATTTTCTCTTCTTGGTTGCACCAACCAAACAGACGTTAAAAGCTTTTATCAAAGAGGGATCGCATACTTAAACAATGCTCCAATCTGATTGTGATAATTTGGGATAGAGGAAATATTTTATTCGGAAACCATTCAACCATTCAATGGTGTACCTCCAAGTTCGAGTTCGGCAGGGGCTCTGGGCCCATCATGGGTACTGTGTCCTCGCACCCAAGACGCTTCCTTCAAAAACGAACGATAAAGGGATTACTAGACCAGTAACCCTCGGCACATACCTAGATGATTTAAATATTGGACCCACGGACTGTGACAGACTAGCAACTAAATGTCCACTTCTTAAGCCAAAGAATAAAATAATGCACATGGAAGGGCTTGGAAATAATCGGTCATAAAATAATGCAGATAAGACAGAACTAATTTGCATGAAGAAATTGGCCAAATGGGTTCGAGACGATACTATTAATTCACCTAATTAAGGAAATCTGACATGAGAAGTGGCAACAGCGAGTATATGAAGTTAATTGGATCAAATCTTCAAGATATAGTGGGTTTATAGATTTAACCTTCCTAGGGAGTGGGGACTTCACGACTTGAATTATTATAAGTTTTGTGATCCAACGGGTAGATGCTCATTAGTTATCGCCAACCTGTGAGTGTCATCACGTCGTCAGTGCAACCAACTTTGGGACAAGGAGTTATGGAGTCATGTACATGGCCCATGGCACATACAACAACTCAACCCCTTCAGCAGAACATGTCTTCTCTTGGCTGCTTTGATTGAGTATGATAGATGAAGTGGGAGAACTAGAATCACATGTCCCACATCACAAAGCTCATGAATTTATTAAAAGCAAGTTCCATCGTACATGCATGTTTGATGAACTAATAATCTAAACCATGTCCAGTGGGTGCAGCTAATTAATTACAAAGTCCCAGATTATGAATCATCGAGTACTGTTCCAATTGAATCCCTATCCTAGCATCTATCTGCATCACATGATGTATTGAGACCTCACATTCTTTATCTTGTAGAATCATTTGAGGATCTCTGTATTTTCTTTCAGCTTATATTATCAGCAGTTTATACACATCTACAAAATCAGAATTGTATATATCATAAATGCTCAACAAGAAGCTTTCGGAGATGGAATATTCCATTTTGATGTAGAAGGGCCATTGGAATATGTTTTGCTAATAGCTACTTGAATTGATATAGAAAAGAGTGAACGTCGGCAAGTTGAAGAAGCTAAGAGATGACTTCCAGTGTGGGTGGAAGTGTTAATAATGAGAGATTAAATTTGACTTGGGAAATGAGATGAAGAGACGATATATGACAACTTCTCAACATGAAGCCACGTGAAGAACAGAATAGTTCGACACACATCAAAATATTTGATTGCCATCTGCTGGTTACCGTTAAAAGAGAAAATTCCAAATACTTGTGCGTAGTGTTTCAGTTCGAGAACCCAATCATAGCAAGGCCTGTAAACAGATCGAATTCGAATTGGATCAGGATAGATTCGAATTCGAAACCGATTATAAACACTAATATTTGAATTTAATTCAATATTTGGCGGATATCAAATCTTTGAGTTCAAATTCGATTTTGATTATCAAATCAAATATCCAATTTGATTCGAATTCGATCAATTGACTTTTCGAATATGAATTCAAATCCGATTCGATTCAAATAGACATTGTATACATTTTGCAAAGAAAGTGTGAAGAATTAGTATCTACCATGTGCAGAACATGACATTTTATCATAATTTCAATCATTGTGAGGGTATTCATATTCTGAAATGTAAAATCCCATTAAAATTTAAAGTCAATATGTATTGTGTGCTTTCATTGTGAGGATATCCATGATGAGAATATATACAGAATAGTGTAAAACAAAAAATTCAACCAACTCACCAACAGTCGTAAGGCTGATATTACAAAAATCAATTGCAGAAGAACGTTTGATTTTCGTTACTTGAATGTTTAGTTGATTCTTTGGACAAAAGAAACCAAAACCCACTAGAAGAAGTACTTTCATCAGTTACCTTTGAAAACCCAGTAACTTGAAGCCCTACACACTACAAACGGCGATGAAGATGATGATGGGTTCCCAGTGGCTATCGTGGGTTGCAAGACGATGACTTAGAAAAGAAGATGATGATTCACTGTCTCATTGTCACTGAGACTGAGAAACGAAGGTGAATAGTGATGGGTTTCGAGCAGCAATTCAACGTCTCACTGTCACTGAGACGAAGACTGAGAAAAGAGAGAGGTGACGAGATGAGCGACGACGGCGGTGAAAGGCGATGACTGAGAAAAGAAGATGGTGATTCACTGTCTCATTATCACTGAGACTGAGAAAAGAAGGTGAATAGTGATGGATTCCCAACGGCAATTCAACGTCTCATTGTCACTAAGACAAAGACTGAGAAAAGAGAGAGAGGTGACGAGATGAGCGACGACGGCGATGAAGGGCGATGACCGATGATGGACCGATGGTGGTTGCTTGAGCAGCATTTGGCGACGACGAAGGGAGTGACAGAGGTCAAAGGGTTAGGGTTTTACACTTTTAAGGTTTTGAGAAGATGAGAGAGAGGGGGTAATGAGGTTCAGGTTCGAATGAAATGAAAGAATTCGATGAGATTTTCGAATTACTCATTATTTTTTATTTTCTTTTTTTAATCTTTATACTATATAATATATTAATATATATAATCTTTATATTATATTATATATATATATATATAATCGGTTCGGATCAATGCATATCTGAATTCAATCCAATAATTTAATCGATAAAAAAATGGAATTCGAATTCGACCGAATATCCTATTCAAACTATCCGAATTTGATTCGATTATGTCAAATCTCGAATTCGAATTCGGATTTTCGAATACCGTTTACAGGCCTATCCATATCACATATTTGATCAACTTGAAATAGTAATGTTTGTGAAATAGTAGCCAGCATAAGAGTGTTTCAGTTTCAGACCAGGGTGAATGTGAAAGCAAAACCATTCGAGAATTTTCATTCCATCACGTCTTCAGGTCAACCGTAGCACAAATCTGATCAGTGGAATTGTGGTTTTGCATTATCAAGATGTTGTCATGGAGATGGTGTGGTAGAGGAGATTTTGGAATTTGGACATCACCGTATGAGCTCATAGAGATGAATTACAGCGTATCAACGATCATTAATTATCACATGGCGGGCCAAGGGCTAATGATCCTAAACTCGAGTCCGGAATTCCGGAACTGCTGTACTTTAGAATTTTACTCGCACTTTCATTTACTTGTGACAAATGTCCCAAAAAAATGCAAAGAAAAGAGTGCCCAACCAAAAAAAGAGAGAAAAAAAAGGATAAGTGCACTACAATCACCTCAGAAATCTGAAATTGCAGATTTCAGATTTGCCTTGGGTCCAATGGCCCCTACTACATTTGCCTTGGGTCGAATGGCCCTGGCTTGGCAAAGCACGAAGCTGCCAAATCGAATTTCTCGATTCTCGGCTATTGCATTATTGGTGTGGGTCTGTATGCTATGCCCCCATCTCGAATTTCTCGATTCTCGGCTAAGATGTCAATAAGATAACCATGGCCAAGGTTGCCATAAGAGGCAAAGAGATAATAACACAACATTCAAGGAGGTTGTCTCTTCGGAGACATCCGATAAAATACATTCATGGAGGTTTTGGAACAAAGATGTTGGCCTCATAAAGATTGACACAGCTCAAAAGTTGCAAATATTCATACCCACGACTAAGCTAATAGATTACAGAATAGGGAATAAATTATAAACAGAATAGTAGGATTCAATTCATACAGAATGTAATGTTGTTAAAAATAATGAATGCTTTCAAGTTTCAACTATGCAGTCTGTCTGGTACACGAGAGCTTGTACCTTCCTTCGTTTAGCAGGCCCCATCTTCTAATTGCACGAAAACCTTCTCATCCTTCTTCACAATAAATTTGATTCTGTTGCTGCAAATTTGAGGCAGTAAAAAACCATCTGAGCTGAGATGAAATTGTACCTCCCTATACTCCATCCAAATGGAGTAATTGTTCTCTTCCAAGCTCCAACCAAATTTGAATTGGGAAGTTCTTCATTTCCTTTTTCTCATTTTTTTTGCTATTTACGGTGCTTAACACCATGCTTCTTATAAAGATATTTCCTTTCCTGACATAACAAGAACCAGTGCCGCGATTAGAGGACCGCGCAGAGAACAAGAAACATAAGTAGGAGACCCTTCAATCTTCCCCAGTCCATCCAACCAAAATTCACCATCTCGCAATTCCACTGTTATCTTCCAGGGTCCAGGCTCTGCTGCTGCTGCTGCTGCGCCTTCTTGAGGTTCTGTTGAAAACGGAAGTTGAATGACTTCTACGAGTGACTCTGGACTCTGAATCATGATGAGAAGAAGATGAAGATCTTAATCTTCCAAAGAAGGAGAAGAAATTGCGAAACACACGGCTCAATCCACCACTCTCTCTCGACCTGCTACCCCTAGAAGTCCAAGAAATCCTCCGGGGTGCACCGCCCGTATTAAACCCACCATCCATTTCCGTGTAAACAACGGGGAGCTCACGTTCGCCAGCTCGCCTACCCCCGGAAAACCTTCCAACTGCAAAACCACCACCAGGGAGCCTCCATATGGTCAAACCTACGGTGTCCTCTTCGGCTGCCCCCGGAGACCGCGAATCTTGACCACCGTCGGACTCCGGGGAGCCTCTGGCGCGCACATCTGTAGGCAATTCGTGGCGGCATACGGGACAAGAATTTCGAAGAGAAAGCCATGGGAGGATGCAATCTGAATGGTAGATGTGTTTACACGGCATCTCGCGGGCCTCTAACCCAAGCTCAAAGGGTTCCTTGCAGACAGCACAGTGGGATTCGGTGACAACATGGCTAGCTACAATCTCAATAGTCGGCATCGACTCAACGGCAGCCTTCGACGCCGGAGGATGCTCACAGCGCCCAACCCCGTTTATCTCGATCTGAGCGAGCTGATCAAGAAGACGATCAAAGCCTGACCCCATCAAGAAATCTGACATACTTGCGGGCAGGGGTCGAAGGCCGGAACCCGCGCCATCATCATAGTAAAGCTCAAAGCTTGCCCTCTCACCACTACCTCCTTCTGTGCCACCACCATCAGCTGGACCCCGGAGGACAATAACCGGATTGAAAGGCGACCGGTCGCCACCGTTCCTTCGGCTACGGCGAAACCCTAAATTCGTATTCTGATCCGAATTCGGCCTGTTCCCGAGCATATACATCGCAGCGGCAGGAAATCGACGGCGTCTACCGTCTGTTTGTGCAGATCGGGACAGATTCTCGACTTCTTCAATAAATCCCCCATCACAATCGGGGCAAACGATGGTGTCTCGAGACCAAACCCTAACAAATCGACTGCATCTGTAGCACCAGTACGACGACCCTCCCGAAGCCATCTAGAAAACAAACCTAGATGATATTTTCCTGCAGATCTGAGAACCACAAGAAAGAAATCCTCCTAAAAGTCGTTTCTTTCTTTTTCAAACTTGTACTATCAGCGAAGCAGAGCAAATAAAGGATCCCAGAGCCACTTCTTTCGAAGACTAGAATTCGTCACTCAAACCTCAAAGAAATTTGGGAAAAAAAATCGAGTTCTAAAAATCCTCAGTTTCCTCAACAATTTCTCAGGGAGAAAAAAGAACAATCAAGAATCCCTCGCCGGCGTACGAATAAATATATCAAATCAAAGGAGAAACCCTAAAATTCCTTTACCTTACAGATCAGATAGAAGAAACCAAAGAATTGAATCTCGGTTTCCGAGAAAACGAGAAAAAATAGATAGAAACCTCAACTTGCTGAACAATTTACAGATCCGGCAGGATGAGAGAGAGAGAGAGAGAGAGAGAGGGGGGGTTTGAGGTTCGGAAGAAGTAAACGGGAGAGAAGGGTTTTAAGCTGAGATGGAAGTCTTAACGACAAAACCGCGTGCTATTTGTTTTAGCGTCCTAGCAACGCTTCAACTCGACAAACTTAACGTCCGTGGAACGTGGTGAATTCTCACTGGGTCTAATTTAACGGCGTTGGCGTCAGCGAGGACGTAGAGACTTTAGAGAGTAGACTGGTCAACCATCCGTCAAACAGAAGTTGCGAAGAAGTAGATCGGGCCGAGCCGCTCCACGCCGTTGGCCTTAAGTTGGCGAACCATCCGTGTGCGCGTGGCTGGGTGAGTGGGTAAGTGGGAACCAGGGAGGGAAGCACTGGTAGGCTGGTAGCCTAGACTTGACGAGAAAATAGAATAGAACAACGTCACGCCGATTTTGAAACTTTAAAATCGTTTAATCGCGGATTTTTTTTTTAAACTTAGATATTTGCATTATATACACCAACGGTCCAGACTCTCCATTAAGCATCCTTGATTGGGAATCTTATAGTTGTTGTGAGTAACTGGATGATCAAGTTATCTAAATTATTGCTATTATTAAGCGGTAATTAGATTTATATCTGATTGATTTTGACCTACCAAGCACCAACCATAACTGATCGACTATCAAGGGCAAGACATTTCAATCGCCGGGGCGTTAAATGGTCGGCAGTGATTGTTTGAAAGTTTTAGGGGTGACCACTCAATTAGTCATAGAGAATGGAGAATCCGGGTGGGCCCATGGATAAATGAGATCAAAGTCGGGTAATCCGATTCTTGATGAACCCAAATCTCGATACTTTCAAAAAACTATGGGTAACAGAATATCTTCTCTGTTTTTGCATCAACGCACGAAAAAATGAAAAAAAAAAAAGAAATCTTCGCAGTTTAATAATTTTTTATTTGAGAAGGACAGGCAGAACCGCAGAAGTGCCAGGGGAGTGGGGGGATCTATATTCAGTTTCAGTTTCAGGAGACCTGCTTTATTTTTTTATCAAAGAGGAATCTAATTCAACCGAGTGTCCCTCTCTCACGAGCAACAGACAAAAATTTAATTTTGGTAAGACTGAACCAACATTTGATCTGTGAGAATTAATTCCGCCCTTCCAATCTTATGAGTCTATCGATTTGAGAATTAAGAGGATAATTAAACCTAATTTACGATCAAAATATATATACTTTCCTTTTTGTAAATGTATTCTCTTTTTTCTTCTTTTTTTTATTCATGGACCAAATATATTCTCTCTCTGAAGTCTGAACAAAACCAGCGAAGAACTTGGGCTCTCTCACTTTGCCTTTTCTTTAGGAAAAATTGATACAGATAACATAGTGCATTCCAACTTCACGACGAGTTCAAATCTGCCCCTCACAGAATACATCCCAAAAATGTCTTACAGTATTGAAAACATCTCCCAATGACAAATGCTGGAGATGTTTTTAATGGCAGATGTAAACTCCTTCACGACAAGTATCAAAAAACATGTTAGAAAAAATAGAAAGTTTTCGAACAGTATTATATGTTGTAATTTGTTTTCAAAATCAACCTTATTTTCTTTCCAATATGAACAAAATAAATTATGCGACAAAGTAGTGTAGGTCATGATGGTACAAAATGCTTGGAAAAATAATTGAAATATTGGCAAATACTAGGTTTAGAATACAAGTACAAATATTAAACAAATTATCCTATTATTGTTTTTAATTAAGTTCTTTAAAATTAGATTTTTTTTTTATCATTCAAATGTTATTGTCATCCAGTCCATTGAGTTTGGACTCCAATTCGATGACTGGTACGTCCTCCACATTCCTTGACAAATTGTTAATGTATCGGTATCACCTGCTTTAGTTTGAAACCGTCTTAGAGGATGTTTGAAACCGTGGCCGTTTTTTAGAAAAACGATGCCACATCAGATCCACATAAGCGTTTCAATAAAATGTATCGGTATCCCACATGCTACACTGAGAAAACTAATAAAAGAAGGAATGAAGAAATATGGCAGAGTTAGAAAACAAAATGATAACTTTATTATGTGTTTGTTCATCCATGATCGACCACTTCAATCTTGGCGTATGTGATTTAATGATCTGGCTGGTTGTTGTTGTGATACTTTACCTGTTAATCTTTTATGGCCCCACGTGGGTTGTGGATCAATTAGTGGTGAAATCTGTTGTGTTTATGTGAATTCTGCTCCCATAATGAGTCTCTGCTAGCTCTTCATACAAATAAATATGAAGAACCCAAATAGGATAGTGGACCGAAGGGCTCTTAACTGTTCTGCAATTGGGTTTATCTGAAATTTGTTCCCATTATGAGTCTCTGCTAGCTCTTCATGCAAAGAAATATGAAGAACCCAAATAGGACAGGGGACTGGAGGACTCTTGACTGTGCTGCAATTGGGTTTATGTGAAATATGTTCCCATTATGAGTCTTTGCTAGGTCTGCTCTGCTTTATGCAAAGAAGTATGGAAGAACCCAGATAGGACAGGGGGACTGGAAGTCTCTCGACTGTGCTAGTATTTTGAGTTCATGGGGGTCCGAGTTGACATGGCTGGTCTGAATAGAGATGGGGTTTCTACATCCATTTAAATAATTCTTAAAAAGTATTTTTAATCTAAACTTTCTTTGGCCAGATATTATAAAACGATCATCCAATTAATCTGGACCATTTGATAAGCATCGTTATATAATTTGGTATAATATTAGCGTTGAAACGATATACTTAGATTGAAGAGAATTATTTAAATGTATTGATGAATGATCTGATATTTATATGTAGAGATACAGGAGTTTTAGATAAATATAAATACTGGAATGTATATCTGCTATTATATCTGTTATTTTGTTAATAGATAGAAGAGGAGATAAGGATAAACAATACGAGTACAAAAGGCTTATTGCAGGAAGGCTTATCGCAAGAATCATGGAGGTTGGTTGTGTGATTCTGGTGTGGTCCGACACCCCCCCTCAAGCGATGCATGGGGTGAGGCAATGCATAGCTTGTTTCGGAGCTGTTGGAAACGAGGTTTGCTTAATGGCTTGGTGAAGATGTCAGCCACTTGGTCATGAGTGGAGATGTATTGAACATGAAGTGTAGCTTTGGCAACCTGCTCTCGAACAAAGTGGAAGTCAATTTCGATATGCTTAGTCCTAGCATGAAAAACGGGATTGGCACTAAGGTAAGTGGCCCCAATGTTATCGCACCACAGTGTGGGAGAGCGTGAAAGAGAGAAGCCAAGCTCACGGAAGAGAGAGAGAATCCAAAGAGCTTCGGAAGTTGCGAGAGCAAGACTGCGATACTCCGCTTCAATGATGGAACGTGAGACAATAGCGTGTTTGCGAGATGACCAGGAGAGGAGATTGTTGCCAAGGTAGATGCAATAACTACCTTGCAAGCGACGATCATCAGGGCATCCTGCCCAATCAGAGTCAGAGAAGATGTGCATGGAGGTGATGGAAGAGGGTGTAATACAAAGGCCAAACTCAATGGTGGACTTAAGATAACGCAAGATGCGCTTAACAAAGGACCAGTGAGCGAGAGTAGGGTATTGCAAGTATTGGCAAGCTTTATCTACAACAAAGGCAATGTCTGGTCGAGTGAGAAGGAGGTATTGTAGTGCGCCAATAGTACTACGATAAAGTTGAACATCTGGGAATGGGTCACCATCGAATTTGGATAAAGTAGTACCAGGGGCCATGGGAGTATGAATGGGCTTCATTCCAACAAGCCTAGTGCGCTCAAGGAGATCTTGGGCATAGCAACATTGATTGATAAACAAACCATTAGGTGTCCGAATGGCTTCGATACCTAAAGAGAAGGAGAGAGAGCCAAGATCTTTGACTGCAAAGTGGGATTCCATAGCTGATATGAGATCAGTAATAGCAGAATGTGTGGACCCAGTGAGGATGATATCGTCAACATATATACAAGAATGTAGAAGCAGTGAGTATCGCTTCGCAAGATGAAGAGAGAGGAGTCCACCTTGTTAGCTGTAAACCCATAATCCAGAAGGAAGGAACTGAGCTTGGAGTACCAAGCATGAGGGGCCTGTTTCAGCCCGTAGAGGGACTTTCTTAGGTGACAGATGTGAGAAGGTCGAGAATCATCAACAAATCCAGGTGGTTGGGACATGTACACTTCTTCATAGAGGTCACCATGCAAGAAAGCATTTTGTATATCAATTTGAAGCAAGGGCCAAGAGAGAGATACTACAAGAGTGAGAAGAAGCTAAATAGGGGAGGGCTTGACAACTGAGCTGAATGTCTCAATAAAGTCAAAACCTTCCCATTGATGAAAGCCCTGAGCAACGAGACGAGCTTTGTATCAATTAATGGTACCATCCGGTTTGCGTTTGAGGCGAAAGACCCACTTACAACCAATGACATTGCAGTGTGGAGGGGGAGATACCAGTTCCCATGTGCCATTGCGAAGAAGCGCATTGTACTCCTCAACCATGGCAGTACGCCAATGTGGATCATTGTTTGCTTGGGAGAAGCATGTAGGTTCAAAGACGGAAGTTGGAATTGGGTGGCGTGTGACAACAAGAGAGAGAGGTTTGCGAGGTTTGAAGATGTCGTCTTTGGCTCGAGTGCACATGGGATGAGTAAAGACAGGAGCAGTTACAGGTGGAGGAGAAATTGATGAAGACAAATAACTCGTGGATGGAGATGACAAAGGGTAGTCTGAGGAAGCTGAGGACAGTGGGACAAGAGGCACAGAGGGTTCAGAAGAGTCACTGGATGCAGTGGTGGGAGCAAGAACGTGAGGAACAATAACAGGTGGTAGGCCAATAGGCTAGGTCGGAGAAGAGTGACGTGTAGGCACTGTAGACTGGTGAGAAAAGGGAAATTTCGTCTCATGAAAGAGAACATGAGCAATAGTGTATATGCATCCTAAAGCCAAATTGAGGCACCGATAGCCCTCGTGATTGGGGTTGTAAACAATAAATATACAGGGAAGAGATCTGTACTCCATTTTGTTGGACATGTAAGGGCGCAAGTAAGGAAAGAAGAGGCAAACCATATACTCGCAGGAAGTG